ACCCCCCCCCCCCCCCCCCCCCCGATAGAGATACAACACTGTACTTTGAAAATTTTTATTTAGAAAGACAAAGGGAGTAATCTTTAGCTACTTGTAAGCCATGAGATCAGGAGATGGTACTAAAGACTTTGCTCTAATGCCTCTGTTTCAGAAGGGAGCACTACTTCTTGCCCCAGGATGTCAAGGCACACACACCTCATTGCTGTTTTCTCGGACTGGAGGCAGCTAAACCATCAATTTATAGACTCGCCACAAATTCTGCCCCAGTTAATTAATGGTATGTTCCTATTCTCTGTCAGAGAGCAGGCATGGAAGCCAGACTCAATATGTGGCACGCTGAGGCTACACATAGCAGCAAAATGATGCCTTTCATCTTCTTCTCAATGCTTTTCCTGATGTTGCCCAACGTTTTGTTGGCTTTTTGTGGCTGCGGACACACCTGGGCTAATGATCTCAGACACCTGTCAACAGTGACTTCAAGGATCTCTTTCCTGGGCTGTGACAGCCGATTTGGTTCTATGACAACCAGTTTTGAATTATTTTCCTCTATGTGCATTACCTGACGTTTATCCACACTGAAGCTCCTGTGCCAACACTGTGCCTTTTGTTCAGTTTTGTGAGGTCCTGCAGGACTTTGCCATCGGTGTGGCATTTGACTGCCCTAAGGAGGTTAGGAGCAGCCACAGACCTGAAGTTTGTGCATGCTCCCTTCTGCAGGTCACGTTGTTGAATAAAATCAGCAAACACCCACTGCTGCCTCCTCTCTACCCTGAAATCCCTTCCATTTGCTTCCCACCCTTTAACTTTCTTTCAGTCCAAAAATGAACCTTTCCTCCAAATTCTTTGCTTAATGATAAAAAGTCCAAGGATCATGAGGAAGAAATTATTGAAATACGCTTCTCACCTTTATAGTCCTCACAGCTTTCTAATATAAAAGGCTTCCAAAATTTACAGCTGTGGTCTCTTTGTAAAAAAGGTGCTTCAGAAAAGATAACAGTTGCCATGAATTAACATCACAGTCATTTTCTAAACGTACTGCATTATCGCTGGAGGGTGTAGGTTAGCTCTTGACACCATCCCTTTGTTTTCGTCCTGGAAAACCCCAGATGTACCTAGTTACCAGGAAGGAGAGTAGTGTCTGCATCAGTCAGAGCCAAGTAAAATATTAATAATTGTGGGACTGGATGCCTAAGTGACAAGGCAGTAGCTAGGAAAGAAAGCGGGATAGCAGCAGTGTTGAGTTTTACAGCTACAAGAGACAAGGGTAGTTTAGATTTTCCTTAACAAGAAAAAAAAAGAGCACAGAACTTCTGTGAATTTATCAAACGCTTAAAAGCCCTGAGCTATTTTAAGAGGATGCGATACAGCCACCCTTCTGCTGTGAAACGGCGAGAAAAAAAGAACTGCAACACGGCTACAACTTCCACACTGCTGTGACAACGTCTG